AAGTTAAGTTGGCCGGCGGAGCTGGTTGGCCGCGACCCAAGCGACTGCTGAAAGCAGCCAGGATCTCTCCCCGCTCCTTGCAGACCACGGAGACAAGTCTGCACGTCAGTGCCAGGGCGCAGCACTACCTCCCACCCAAGAGAAGGCAGCTCTGGGAAAACACGTGAACTTCGGACAGATGTACATATGCTCCAGAAGTACAAAGTGGCGAGTAAACCCAGCAGCAGTTTCCAGTCCTATTTATAAATTTTTCTTTCTTTTTTTTTTTTAAAGGAGAAAGGGAAGTATTTTCCTTAAGGAAGCACCGAGTCCCGGGTGATTTACATATTTTATCTCATCTACTTTCAGAATCCCCTTTGAGATATGTACTATTACCTCGCTCTCCCAATAAGAAAACTGAGGCTCCGCCAGAGGCGGGAGAAGAACCCTGGGACCGTCCCTTTGCCCCGCGCCCTTCGCGAGTCCGCAGCGGGGCGCGCAGGGACACTTCCGTCTGGGCGGTCCTTCTCCTGCCCCACCATCCAAAATATACTGCCGTCGTCTCCGTTTCTCCCACATTTCCAAGCCTCAAAGACCATAATTCTGAGAATTCCAAGAAGAGCACCCTCCCAGATCTCCAACAGCGCCCGGCCCAGCTTACAGAGGGGCGCCGGCCCCCATTGTCCGGAGGTCACCCACATTCGGTGAGAGTCGTAAGAGGGGACTTAACTTGTTTAAAACGGGCCTAGGAGAGCGCTCGTTGCATTAAAACCTCGTCCTCCGTCCCCAAGTGCAGACTTAGAAATGGAACCGAGTCCTCAGACGCACTGAGCGCCGGGGCGGTGGAAGGGGGATCGGACGGGGGGCTGCAGCCGTGGCAAAGCCTCGGTCTCAGCGGTCAATACCAAGGTTACCGAAACTCCCCAGCAGCAGACACCGCGCATGACCGTGCGGACACTTGGACCGCCTTAAGGAAGGCTGGGCCTTGGGAGCGAGAAGACTCCTCCCCGTCCCCCTTGATTGGCGTGCCGGGCCGAGGGCGGAGACCGAGTCAGCTCGGTATAAATATTCATGAGGCGGCCGCGAGGCTAGCGGGGCCTCAGCTGGGAAGTTCGCTGAAGGGCAAAGCTCCTGCTGAGGAGGAGGTGATTGTGGGCGCTAGCCGAGCAGCTCAGGTGTCTGCTCCGCTTTCCGGTCTGGATTTGGTGCTGCACGTCTGGCGAGGAAGAGACTGCCTGCACGTCGCCGATTGCTGGCCCAAGCGCAGAGTGGACTTTTACCGGACCGACGCCGGGGAGAGAGGGACGCGGCCTCGGCGGAGGCGGGTCCCTAGGTCCGGCTGCAGCAGAGCGGCTTTGGGAACGAACATGACCCCCTGGGGGCCGAAAGGGGGGCCTTAGGGGGCCGTAGTAGCTGACCCGGCGCGGGAGCGGCCTGGCCCAGCCATCTTGACTGCGCGCCGCGGCCCGCCCGAAAGGAAACTTGCTGCGCCGCCGCCCTCCGCGCCTAGCCAAGTCACCGGCGCCGGCGCGGCGCGGCGCTGCGAGGAGAAGTGCCCCAGCGCGCGCAGGAGAGAACGCGAGCGAGTGAGGGACGATGAGCCAGGGACCAGCCACTGTGCTTCGAAAGGGCTGAGCTCTACCAGGGCAGACCCTCGGGGACTGTAGAGCACTCCGGCACCCACCCTCATCTCCCCGGAGCGGCGGACCACGCCGTGTGGACGTGTCCCGAGAAGAGACTAGGTTATCGGCAGATAACCTCCGAGGGAAGCAGGAGAAAGACCGGCAGGGCACCCGCTCTCTCCTCCGGCTCTCTCTTTCTCTCCCTCTCCCCCTCTCCCCCTCTCTCCCTCTTTCCCCTCTCTCCCTCCCTCCCTCCCTCCCTCCTTCCTCCGGAGCCTCTGCCCTCCACCTTGAGGGCAAGGGCCCGAAGCATGGAGTGGTGTTACCTGTTGGAAGTGACCTCCTTGCTGGCCGCCTTGGCGCTGCTGCAGCTCTCCAGCGGCGCTGCGGCTGCCTCAGCCAAGGAGCTGGCGTGCCAAGAGATCACCGTGCCGCTGTGCAAGGGTATCGGCTACAACTATACCTACATGCCCAACCAGTTCAACCACGACACGCAGGACGAGGCGGGCCTGGAGGTGCACCAGTTCTGGCCCCTGGTGGAAATCCAGTGTTCGCCAGACCTCAAGTTCTTCCTGTGCAGCATGTACACGCCCATCTGCCTAGAGGACTACAAGAAGCCCCTGCCTCCCTGCCGCTCCGTGTGCGAGCGCGCCAAGGCCGGATGCGCACCCCTCATGCGCCAGTACGGCTTTGCCTGGCCGGACCGCATGCGCTGCGACCGGCTGCCGGAACAGGGAAACCCAGACATGCTGTGCATGGACTACAACCGCACGGACCTCAC